TGTGTCACTTCTGTGTGTGTCACTTCTATGTGTGTGACTTCTGTGTTTGTCACTTCTGTGTGTGTCACTTCTGTGTGTGTCACTTCTCACTTCTGTGTGTGTCACTTCTGTGTGTGTCACTTCTATGTGTGTCACTTCTCACTTCTGTGTGTGTCACTTCTGTGTGTGTCACTTCTGTGTGTGTCACTTCTCACTTCTGTGTGTGTCACTTCTGTGTGTGTCACTTCTCACTTCTGTGTGTGTCACTTCTGTGTGTGTCACTTCTGTGTCTGTCACTTCTCACTTCTGTGTGTGTCACTTCTGTGTGTGTCATTTCTGTGTGTGTCACTTCTATGTGTGTCACTTTTTTGTGTGTCACGTCTGTGTGTGTCACTTCTGTGTGTGTCACTTCTATGTGTGTCACTTCTCACTTCTGTGTGTGTCACTTCTGTGTGTGTCATTTCTGTGTGTGTCACTTCTATGTGTGTCACTTTTGTGTGTGTCACGTCTGTGTGTCACTTCTGTGTGTGTCACTTCTATGTGTGTCACTTCTCAATTTTGTGTGTGTCACTTCTGTATGTGTCACTTCTATGTGTGTCACTTCTCATTTTTGTGTGTGTCACTTCTGTGTGTGTCACTTCTGTGTGTGTCACTTCTCACTTCTGTGTGTGTCACTTCTGTGTGTGTCACTTCTATGTGTGTCACTGCTCAATTTTGTGTGTGTCACTTCTGTGTGTGTCACTTCTGTGTGTGTCACTTCTATGTGTGTCACTTCTGTGTGTGTCACTTCTGTGTATGTCACTTCTCACTTTTGTGTGTGTCACTTCTGTGTGTGTCACTTCTGTGTGTGTCACTTCTCACTTCTGTGTGTGTCACTTCTCACTTCTGTGTGTGTCACTTCTGTGTGTGTCACTTCTGTGTGTGTCCCTTCTGTGTGTGTCATTTCTGTGTGTGTCACTTCTCACTTCTGTGTGTGTCTCTTCTGTGTGTGTCACTTCTGTGTGTGTCACTTCTGTGTGTGTCACTTCTCACTTCTGTGTGTGTCACTTCTGTGTGTGTCACTTCTCACTTCTGTGTGTGTCACTTCTCACTTCTGTGTGTGTCACTTCTGTGTGTGTCACTTCTGTGTGTGTCCCTTCTGTGTGTGTCATTTCTGTGTGTGTCACTTCTCACTTCTGTGTGTGTCACTTCTGTGTGTGTCACTTCTCACTTCTGTGTGTGTCACTTCTGTGTGTGTCACTTCTCACTTCTGTGTGTGTCACTTCTCACTTCTGTGTGTGTCACTTCTGTGTGTGTCCCTTCTGTGTGTGTCATTTCTCACTTCTGTGTGTGTCACTTCTTTGCGTGTAATTTCTGTGTGTGTCACTTCTGTGTGTGTCACTTCTCAATTTTGTGTTTGTCACTTCTGTGTGTGTCACTTCTGTGTGTGTCACTTCTGTGTGTGTCACTTCTCAATTTTGTGTGTGTCACTTCTGTGTGTGTCACTTCTCTGTGTGTCACTTCTGTGTGTGTCACTTCTATGTGTGTGACTTCTGTGTTTGTCACTTCTGTGTGTGTCACTTCTGTGTGTGTCACTTCTCACTTCTGTGTGTGTCACTTCTGTGTGTGTCACTTCTATGTGTGTCACTTCTCACTTCTGTGTGTGTCACTTCTGTGTGTGTCACTTCTGTGTGTGTCACTTCTCACTTCTGTGTGTGTCACTTCTGTGTGTGTCACTTCTCACTTCTGTGTGTGTCACTTCTGTGTGTGTCACTTCTGTGTCTGTCACTTCTCACTTCTGTGTGTGTCACTTCTGTGTGAATCATTTCTGTGTGGGTCACTTCTATGTGTGTCACTTTTTTGTGTGTCACGTCTGTGTGTGTCACTTCTGTGTGTGTCACTTCTATGTGTGTCACTTCTCACTTCTGTGTGTGTCACTTCTGTGTGTGTCATTTCTGTGTGTGTCACTTCTATGTGTGTCACTTTTGTGTGTGTCACGTCTGTGTGTCACTTCTGTGTGTGTCACTTCTATGTGTGTCACTTCTCAATTTTGTGTGTGTCACTTCTGTGTGTCTCACGTCTGTGTGTGTCACTTCTGTGTGTGTCACTCTTGTGTGTGTCACTTCTCACTTCTGTGTGTGTCACTTCTGTATGTGTCACTCCTGTGTGTGTCACTTCTGTGTGTATCACTTCTGTGTGTGTCACTTCTGTGTGTGTCACTTCTCACTTCTGTGTGTCACTCTTGTGTGTGTCACTTCTCACGTCTGTGTGTGCCACTTCTGTGTGTATCACTTCTATGTGTGTCACTTCTGTGTGTGTCACTTCTGTGTGTGTCACTTCTCACTTCTGTTTGTGTCACTTCTGTGTGTGACACTTCTGTGTGTATCACTTCTCACTTCTGTGTGTGTCACTTCTGTGTGTGTCACTTCTATGTGTGTCACTGCTCAATTTTGTGTGTGTCACTTCTGTGTGTGTCACTTCTGTGTGTGTCACTTCTATGTGTGTCACTTCTGTGTGTGTCACTTCTGTGTGTGTCACTTCTCACTTCTGTTTGTGTCACTTCTGTGTGTGACACTTCTGTGTGTATCACTTCTCACTTCTGTGTGTGTCACTTCTGTGTGTGTCACTTCTGTGTATGTCACTTCTCACTTTTGTGTGTGTCACTTCTGTGTGTGTCACTTCTGTGTGTGTCACTTCTCACTTCTGTGTGTGTCACTTCTCACTTCTGTGTGTGTCGCTTCTGTGTGTGTCACTTCTGTGTGTGTCCCTTCTGTGTGTGTCATTTCTGTGTGTGTCACTTCTCACTTCTGTGTGTGTCTCTTCTGTGTGTGTCACTTCTGTGTGTGTCACTTCTGTGTGTGTCACTTCTCACTTCTGTGTGTGTCACTTCTGTGTGTGTCACTTCTCACTTCTGTGTGTGTCACTTCTCACTTCTTTGTGTGTCACTTCTGTGTGTGTCACTTCTGTGTGTGTCCCTTCTGTGTGTGTCATTTCTGTGTGTGTCACTTCTCACTTCTGTGTGTGTCACTTCTGTGTGTGTCACTTCTCACTTCTGTGTGTGTCACTTCTGTGTGTGTCACTTCTCACTTCTGTGTGTGTCACTTCTCACTTCTGTGTGTGTCACTTCTGTGTGTGTCACTTCTGTGTGTGTCCCTTCTGTGTGTGTCATTTCTCACTTCTGTGTGTGTCACTTCTTTGCGTGTAATTTCTGTGTGTGTCACTTCTGTGTGTGTCACTTCTCAATTTTGTGTTTGTCACTTCTGTGTGTGTCACTTCTGTGTGTGTCACTTCTGTGTGTGTCACTTCTCAATTTTGTGTGTGTCACTTCTGTGTGTGTCACTTCTCTGTGTGTCACTTCTGTGTGTGTCACTTCTATGTGTGTGACTTCTGTGTTTGTCACTTCTGTGTGTGTCACTTCTGTGTGTGTCACTTCTCACTTCTGTGTGTGTCACTTCTGTGTGTGTCACTTCTATGTGTGTCACTTCTCACTTCTGTGTGTGTCACTTCTGTGTGTGTCACTTCTGTGTGTGTCACTTCTCACTTCTGTGTGTGTCACTTCTGTGTGTGTCACTTCTCACTTCTGTGTGTGTCACTTCTGTGTGTGTCACTTCTGTGTCTGTCACTTCTCACTTCTGTGTGTGTCACTTCTGTGTGTGTCATTTCTGTGTGTGTCACTTCTATGTGTGTCACTTTTTTGTGTGTCACGTCTGTGTGTGTCACTTCTGTGTGTGTCACTTCTATGTGTGTCACTTCTCACTTCTGTGTGTGTCACTTCTGTGTGTGTCATTTCTGTGTGTGTCACTTCTATGTGTGTCACTTTTGTGTGTGTCACGTCTGTGTGTCACTTCTGTGTGTGTCACTTCTATGTGTGTCACTTCTCAATTTTGTGTGTGTCACTTCTGTGTGTCTCACGTCTGTGTGTGTCACTTCTGTGTGTGTCACTCTTGTGTGTGTCACTTCTCACTTCTGTGTGTGTCACTTCTGTATGTGTCACTCCTGTGTGTGTCACTTCTGTGTGTATCACTTCTGTGTGTGTCACTTCTGTGTGTGTCACTTCTCACTTCTGTGTGTCACTCTTGTGTGTGTCACTTCTCACGTCTGTGTGTGCCACTTCTGTGTGTATCACTTCTATGTGTGTCACTTCTGTGTGTGTCACTTCTGTGTGTGTCACTTCTCACTTCTGTTTGTGTCACTTCTGTGTGTGACACTTCTGTGTGTATCACTTCTCACTTCTGTGTGTGTCACTTCTGTGTGTGTCAATTCTGTGTGTGTCATTTCTGTGTGTGTCACTTCTGTGTGTGTCACTTCTGTGTGTCACTTCTATGTGTGTCACTTCTCATTTCTGTGTGTGTCACTTGTGTGTGTCACTTCTCACTTCTGTGTGTGTGTGTCACTGCTCACCTCTGTGTGTCACTCTCCCTCCTGTGTGTGTCACTGTCCACCGAGGTGTGTGTGTCACTACTTTACTTATGCGCGTGTGTGTGTGTCACTGTCCACCTGTGTATGTGGGTGTGTCACCGCTCACTTATTCGCGTGTGTGTGTCACTGTCCACCTGTGTATGTGTGTCACCACCCACACCTGTGTGTGTGTGTGTGTCACCACCCACACCTGTATGTGTGTGTGTGTCACCACCCACACCTGTGTGTGTGTGTCACCTGTGTGTGTGTGTGTCACCACCCACACCTGTGTGTGTGTGTGTCACCACCCACACCTGTGTGTGTGTGTCACCACCCACACCTGTGTGTGTGTGTGTGTGTCACCAACCACACCTGTGTGTGTGTCACCACCCACACCTGTGTGTGTGTGTCACCACCCACACCTGTGTGTGTGTGTCACCACCCACACCTGTGTGTGTGTCACCACCCACACCTGTGTGTGTGTGTCACCACCCACACCTGTGTGTGTGTGTCACCTGTGTGTGTGTGTGTGTCACCTGTGTGTGTGTGTGTGTCACCTGTGTGTGTGTGTCACCTGTGTGTGTGTGTCACCTGTGTGTGTGTCACCTGTGTGTGTGTGTGTGTGTCACCTGTGTGTGTGTCACCTGTGCGGTGCTGAGGCGGTTGAGCGGCGCGCACTGCTCGTGGACGAGCTCCACGGCGCCCAGGTGCTTGCGCGCGCGCGCGGCCTCGCGCGCCAGGTGCACGTCCAGCAGAGGGGGCGAGTGACTCCCTCCTCCTCCTCCTGCTCCTCCTCCTCGTCCACAAACACAAAGATCCCCAGTATGGCCTTCAAAGAGAGAGTGTCGGGGCAAGTGCTGTTCGCGGGCAGCACCTATGAAGGCCGGCACGCGGCCTACATAGATGCTCCTCATTTACACACGCAAGACAAAGATCCCCCGTATAGGCTAAGCAGACTGTCGGGGCAAGTGCTGTTAGCGAGCAGCACCTATGAAGGCCGGCGCGGAACGCGAGGGGGTGGGTGGCCAGCACCACGCCAGCCCGCCTTTGTCTCCCCAGTGATGATGTTTTTGCACATAGCACCAGGCGCTCATTTGAGGCTGAGTCGACCTACACTATCATACCGTGCCAACCCGGTTCAGATCATTGTCACTGGTGTTGGTCGACGGGTTCGTAGCGTAGCGCACTAATCGCTACCCCACCACTCCCCACACACAGACACACAGACACACGCACAACCATAAAGATCCCCCCCGCGATGGCCTTGAACACCTGTTTTCCACTGAACTATGCCGGGGGCCGTGGCGTGACAGCACGGCACGGTGTCAAGCTGTTGTTTTTTTTTTCCACTGCAACAGCCGAGCCGCGCCGCTGACGTCACGCGCCAACGTGTCGATTCAAACGGCGCCCCCACCCCACTCCCCACCCCCTCCCCACCCCTGCGCTAAACCCCACCACGGCAATGTGGAATTTCCACCGCCTCACCTTCCCGGGCGGATGCTCTGAGGGCCGCCTCGCTGAGCCAGGGCAGGAGCAGGAGGAGCCAGATGGGGCGCTTGCGACGCCACTCGCCGCCCGAGAGGCTCACGAGGAGGGGGTCCCTCCTGCGGCTGCCCCCCTCTCGAGCCCCCCAGCCCAGCAGCCGCCGTCTCACGTACGCCAGGTGACGCTACGACGACAAGGACAAGGACGACGACAACAACGACAACAACAATAACCATTGTGAAGTGTTTGTGTTGTTCGTTTAGAGATCGCGTGAATAGAAATGCGTCGTAAAACCCGCCAGCACCCGACACAGCCAATTAGTAATGGAGCCGCGGTGGCTATGAGATGTTAGCTACCTCGCCTGGTATACAGGAGGTCGTGGGTTCGATCCCAACCCTTACGCCTGCTGCTGTATATTTGGAGTTTGCGTGTCTCTCTCTCTCTCTCCTTGGTCGCGTGGATTTTTATCCGGGTCCTCCGGTTTTCACTCCACATTTAGCATCAACATCACCACGTGTTTAGATCATTTGGCTGCAATAAATGTCCACGTGATAAGCCACTTCGTTGAGCTATCATCTGTGGCCAGGTCGCTTCTGAATAAGAGCTATATATAGCTCAGTGGGTCTTACCTGCTAAAATGTAAAAAAAATGTTACATCAAGTTAAAGGTTTATCACGTACACAAAACGTGCCAATTAGTTACTACTTCCTCACACCGGTGTGCTGAAGAGTAAAACATCTCAACATTTACAATTCAAGTTCGACGTTTTTCCCTGACTATTGCAACCAGCATCATCAGGCGAGTATGGATTAATGTTGGTCGTCAAAAGCCTATGCGTTAACCTGACAGCGATAACGCAACAACAACGTTACAGTGGAGGGTGAAGGTAACAAGCGCACACCACGCATTCCCCTTGTAACATAGCCAGGGTCGGGCTATATACGTAACCTGTCCTCTCATCCTCTGAGTGTAAACTTATCCAGAGCCACCCTCGTTGACAATGCAGCCTCCTCATCCCCTGCACCAGCGTCCCTCCCCAAAGCAATCTGCCCGACACTTTTCACGTACAATCGATGTTGTGTCAGTTTCAAGAGGAATAGATTCACGACTGCAAATCGTAAAACTTTGTACGATTAACACGACGTCTATTGACTCTTTCACCCGCACCTACCTATCCACGGTGACGAGATGTTAACTCCCTCGCCTGGTATGCAGGAGGTCGTGGGTTCAATCCCGACTCTGACGCCTGTTGCTGTATATTTTGAGTTTGCGTGTCTCTCTCTCTTTCGCCGAGGTCGCGTGGATTTTTCTCGGGGCCCTCTGGTTTTTCCCTTCACATTTAAGAATCGCCATCACGCGTTTCGAGTGTTAGGCTGCTTTAAATTCCCACACGATGATGAGCCGCTTGGTTGAGCAGTCATTTGTGGCCAGGTCGCATCTGAAAAAGAGCTATAGAGCTCAGTGGGCCCTTACCTGGTAAAATAAAAGTTTATATATTTTTTTATTTATAGTCGCGAGTGGGGGGCAAAGTTAACTGATGTCCATCCCCCGCTCACCCGAGTCTGCCAAGCAGTGGCCCTGGGGTGGCATGGCTCGGATGTACCAGTGGAACATAACCCATCACGCGAACTCCAATCATCCGCACAGCAGCAGCGGATTTCGGCTGGCCATCGAACAAATACGGGCGCCGCATCACCCGCTGTCAGATGCGCTTCTGCGGCCGTCTGGAACACGCTCTCTCTCTCCCGAGATTATGACGCCACTGGAGCTGTGCGCTTTTAAATCTAGATTGAAAACTCGTCTTTTTATAACTAATTGTTGTGTTTAGATTATTGTTGTCCTTCCCCCGCACCTCCGATTAGCGCAATTGGCTACGTACGGTGCAAAAGAAGTCCAACATACATACATACATACAATTGTCCGATACCACTTTAACATATATAGAGAGGACTGCAGAGCTTGGGAAATTGTTGGTAGCAACCGGCTCACCGGCTGCTGCTTTCCAGCTCATTCGATATCCCTCGGCGATTGCGAGCGATGCGATTTGCAACGATTTCGATGCCGACGCTGCAGACAAAACCTCAACGGGCACAATTTATCAACGACAACAACGACAACAACAACAACAACAAGAACGCGCGTGTCGCACGACGTTGCCCGGTAACCACCCGGCGGCGGCTGTCACCTTGAGACGCAGGTAGAGCTCTCGGGGCAGCAGGGAGGGCAGGCTCTGCCCGCGGGGCAGCAGCTGGCAGCGGGCCAACTCGGAGACGGTGTGCGGGTCGGAGACGTCGAGCTCGAGGTAGACGCGCTCGCTGGAGGAGAAGGCGCGCTTGGCATTGAGCGCCACGTAGTCCCAGACGCGCGTGTACGGGACGTGGATGGTGCCGAAGAGGTACGCGGGCGGGTGCCGCGACACGCTCCACAGGTACGAGTTCATCCGCGACACCTGGCGGCGGCGGCGGTGGTGGGCGCGACAGAGTGGAGGGGTGGCACGGAGGTACACGGAGGTGGAACGGAGGCAAAAAGAGGTGAACGGTGGTGGAACAAGACGTTGGACGGGGGCTGAGCCGGCTGTCCTCCGCATGCCCCCGTGGTTCAAAGTACCAAAATGTTCCCCGAGAGCGGATTTTCGGAAGCTGCCGAGCTGCGCCGCGTGTCGTGCATATCTGCTCTCGAACGTTTGACACGCACGGACACTCCGCGCGTCCGATTAGCTCCAAGGTTTGGCTACGTCGTGCGGTGCGAAAGAAGTTCAACATAACGATCAAACCTGTTCGATGCCAGCGGTAGTACGACCGTGGCAAACACGTCTTTAAGATGGTCGCGCGCGTGGTGCAAGCATATTTAAGATAGTAGCAATGCGTGGTACAAGCATCTATTAGATCGTCGCAGTGGGTGGCTAAATCATCTTTAACATCGCGTAAGTGCATGCCAATAGCATATTGAAGTTATCAACTAAACTATATTTATTTTACAAGGTAAGGCCCGCTGAGCCATATAGCTCTTTTTCAGAAGCGACCTGGCTATCACCAATGATAGCTCCACGAAGTGGGTTTGTCATTGTGTGGAAATGCATAGCAGCAAATCCATGGGACCACGAGGAGAGAGAGACACGCAAACTCCAAAAAAAAATAGGCGTCAGCGTCGGGATCGAAACCACGACCTCCTGTATCCCAGGTGAGGTTGTTATAATCTCGCCACCGCGGCATTGCATATTCAGCAACTAAACTATATTTATTTTATAAGGAACGCCTCACCGGTTCTCATGACTAATCTTCTACGCGACCTTACCCGAACACCTCTGTTATGGGGAATATTGGTCGCGAAATACTCCTACGTGTTACACCGAAGTCTTTTTTTCGACTGCGCTCACTCCCATGTCTGTATGCATGCATGTATGTTGAAGTTTTTTCGCACCGTACGTAGCTTAACCGTCGCAATCCGAGGTGCAGGTGGTGCACAATAAACCAAACACAGAAATCAATTATAAATAAATGAGTTTGTCAATCTAGCTGATGATTTAAAAGCGCATAGCTCCAGTGGCGTCCTAATATCGGAAGAGCGTTCGATAGACGCCCGCAGATGCGCATCTGAAAGCGCGCGATGCAACACCGCACTGACCAGCGTGGTGAAGTATGGTCAAATAACCCCGGATGATAAAAAAAACAAATACATTACTCAACGCGTAACTGGTTAATGGCCAAGACATACAAATGCCGAGAAATTACGCTGTACACTACTCAATTGAGATAAGACGTAGCAGAAGCAGCAGCAGCAGCAGCAACATCGCTCCGCTACTACTAACACCTTTCCAGGACCTTCCCTGGAGCAGAGGAGCATAGACTCAACAGGAACGACGTTGTGGGCAATGACCCTTCTTCACCTCACTAGAAATATCACTACGAATAATGAGGCATACTGCCCATTACGCTGTCTGTTCCTGGATATATATTTGTTTTTGTCTTTAAAGCAGTGTTACAGACGAATGTGTCGCGTTATCGGTGTTTGTGCACAACTGTCAACGTAGCAGCGGCCACGAGCACATCATTTATTTGCTCTTGAAGATGTCTTGAGACTCAGGATTTCCCGTGATAAGCGTGATAATATAATGATAATATATATTTAAGAAATAAAAAATCATCCCCCACCGCACCCACCATTCTCACGGCACGGGGAGGCTCTCATCCAGCAGTGGATTGATAAAAGAGCTCATATGGGGTCAGGGCCAGGTTAAGGTTGGATGAGAGGCCTAAGGCTAATTGCAGAGAGGGACCTAACTATTTACGACATACAGCAGAGTGTTGTAAACAAACAACAAAAAATAACTCATCAAACATTTATTCATTAACCTTTGTAAAATTAACAAATGTATTCGACTCAGGATTACGTATGTTTAACTTCTTTCGCACCGTACGTTTTTATCAAACATAACGCAGCGCTCGGCTGCAACTATTTCTCAGCTACGTAAAAAAAAGGATTCCCTTATCTCACGCGAAGGCGTGAATGTTGTCGTCGCAATTCAAAGACGAATCAATTCTCGATAACCACGTGACTATCTATCGTTCATCTACAACACACGAGAATAACTGATAACGACGCAATGTCCCGATCCGCACAAATCCGCAGAGACATCACAGCGGCGATGTCTCCAACTCCGCTAGTCCCGACGCGGTTGTCTGGCTTGACCACCTGCACGTGAAAGTGTCGCCGTCGTTGGTTGGCATGCATCTACGTCGTCAGCCGTACGAAACAACAACAAGAAGACGAAGCTGGCACTCCAACGTGGGGCGAATGATCTCAAGGAGGGCCTTAGAAAATACGAAGTGCCTTAGTTATATTGCCTGTGGGTGTAATCCGACCCCTGTGCTACAGCAAAGATCCCCCGTGTAGCCTTAACGTACTGTTGGGGCAAGTGCTGTTAGCGAGCACCTGTTAAGGTCGCCACGGCACAAGATGCGGTGGGTGGCCAGCACCACGCCTCACCGCCTTTGTCTCCCCCAGTGGCGATGTTTACACACCGCACCAGGTACTCAGTTGAGACTGAGTCGACGTAGGCGAGGCCCAGGACCGGTTCAGATAATCGTCACTGGGTGTTTGGCCGTGAGCAGGAATTGAACTCGGGTCGCCGGGTTCGTAGCGCAGCGCGCCAACCACTACACTACCGCACACACTATAAAAAGACAAAGATCCCCCGTATAGCCTTACCAGACTGTTGGGGCAAGTGCTGTTAGCGAGCAGCACCTATTAAGGCCGGGACGGTACACGAGGGGGTGGGTGGCCAGCACCACGCCCGACCGCCTTTGTCTCCCCAGTGGCGATGTTTCCACACCGCACACACACGCTACACTAGCGAACACACACACTACACTAGCAAACACACACACTACACTAGCGAACACACACACTACACTAGCGAACACACACACACTAGTGAACACACACACACTACACTAGTAAACACACACACTACACTAGTGAACACACACGCTACACTAGTGAACACACACACTACACTAGTGAACACACACACTACACTAGTGAACACACACACACACACTAGTGAACACACACTACACTACACTAGTGAACACACACTACACTAGTGAACAGACACACACTACACTAGTGAACACACACACTACACTAGTGAACACACACGCTACACTAGTGAACACACACACTACACTAGTGAACACACACACACACACTAGTGAACACACACACACTACACTAGTGAACACACACACTACACTAGTGAACACACACACACTACACTAGCGAACACACACTACACTAGTGAACACACACACTACACTAGTGAACACACACACACTACACTAGCGAACACAAACACTACACTAGTGAACACACACACACTACACTAGTGAACACACACACACTACACTAGTGAACACACACACACTACACTAGCGAACACACACACACTACACTAGTGAACACACACACACTACACTAGTGAACACACACACACTACACTAGTGAACACACACACACACACTAGTGAACACACACACACTACACTAGTGAACACACACACTACACTAGTGAACACACACACTACACTAGTGAACACACACACACACTACACTAGTGAACACACACACACTACACTAGTGAACACACACACTACACTAGTGAACACACACACACTACACTAGTGAACACACACACTACACTAGTGAACACACACACACTACACTAGTGAACACACACACACTACACTAGCGATCACACACACTACACTAGCGAACACACACACACTAGTGAACACACACACACTACACTCGCGAACACACACACACTACACTAGCGAACACACACACACTAAACTAACGAACACACACACACACACACCACTAGTGAACACACACACACACTAGCGAACACACACACACTAGTGAACACACATACACTACACTAGCGAACACACACACACTAGTGAACACACACACTAGTGAACACACATACACACTACACTAGTGAACACACACTACACTAGCGAACACACACACTACACTAGCGAACACACACACACACTAGTGAACACACACGCGCTACACTAGTGAACACACACACACTACACTAGTGAACACACACACACTACACTAGTGAACACACACACACACTAGTGAACACACACACTACACTAGTGAACACACACACTACACTAGTGAACACACACACTACACTAGCGAACACACACACACTACACTAGTGAACACACACACACTACACTAGTGAACACACACACTACACTAGCGAACACACACACTACACAGGCGAACACACACACACTACACTAGTGAACACACACTACACTAGTGAACACACACACACTACACTAGTGAACACACACACTACAACAGCGAACACACACACACTACACTAGTGAACACACACACTACACTAGTGAACACACACACACTACACTAGTGAATACACACACTACACTAGTGAACACACACACTACAACAGCGAACACACACACACTACACTAGTGAACACACACTACACTAGTGAACACACACACACTACACTAGTGAACACACACACTACACTAGTGAACACACACACACTAGCAAACACACACACTACACTAGTGAACACACACACACTACACTAGTGAACACATACACACACTACACTAGTGAACACACACACTACACTAGTGAACACACACACACACACTAGTGAACACACACACACTACACTCGCGAACACACACACACACAAACTTACATTCGACGGCGCCGGGCATGAGTCTTGCACGGTTGGCGGCAAGATGAAAGCCCAAGAGGCGATGATGGCGAGGAGTAACGTGCTCATTGCTCACGTCTCACACTCGCTTTCCTGTAGGTGTGGCGGTGTCAACCGAAGTCTATCATCTGCTCAACAGCAACGACGACGAAATACCAACGTATGTATCGCAATTGTTCAAGTGAGATTTACTTGAATGAAATGTCCTTGCATTGAAATCTTCCGAACGTGGTCTTCTCCGGCAAATTACTGGTTCCACATATACATTGTATATATGTGTGCATTTTTAACCGCTAATGATATTTGTTATACATCGTCGATCTGATTATACGTTCATGGCACGTCTCGCCGGTCACGTGAAGTATTCCAGAGTTTCACACGCAGCGCCTGCCCGTTCGTGTTAATTCATCCCGTGCGTTTTGGCTCTTCATTCAACTTCTCCGGACGCGCGCGTGCGTGCGTATGTGTGTGTGCGCGTGTGCGTGTGCGTGCACGTGCGTGTGTGCGCGTGTGTGTGCGTGTGTGTGCTCAGCACGCAGGGCTGCGTCCAGTCGTGTGCGTTGACGCGTTCCGTCTTCATGTACAAAACTAAAATCTCGGAGCTGCACTTGAGTCGCAGGTGAAGTCAGAGGATTTGAATGGTGGAAACACGGATGGATGAACGGTCGATAGAAGTATGTATGGATGAATGAATGGCGAGACGAATGAATGGATGGCTAGATAGTTGGGTGACTCGATCGTTGGATAGCTAGATGTATATTATATATGGCTGGATAGATGGCTGGCTATATGAATGAATGGATGGATAGCGAGATCGATGGTATTGTGGATGGAGGATTCGATAGATAGATGGATGGATGGCTAGATCGATGTTATTATGGATGGAGGATTAGATAGATAGATGGATAGATCGATGTTATTATGGATGGAGGATTAGACAGATCGATGGATGGATGGCTAGATCGATGGTATTGTGGATGGAGGATTAGACAGATAGATGGATGGATGGCTATATCGATGTTATTGTGGATGGAGGATTAGACAGATAGATGGATGGATGGCTAGATCGATGGTATTGTGGATGGAGGATTCGATCGATGTATGTATGGCTCAATCGACAGATGAGTTTGTTATCAGCGTGTGACTCAAGCTTCATCCTCTTCGAGGCACGATGTAAATCTTCGCAATGCTTATGCACCTCAGGCAGTACCCGTGAGGTCGGAGACGTTACAACGCGAGCCAATGACATCGGCCCTGAATGTTCACGGAGAAGACCCCGCCAGGCACTCGAGGAGATAGCGCCCACGTAGCGCCCCTCGAGACTTCACTGCAACAGAGAGAGGCCCCGCACTTCCGATTGGCACGGTTGGCTAAGGGCGGTGTGAAAGAAGTTCAACATGGGCACGAGGTCAGCGTTCCCTGCGCTTGCTGTTGCCGCCTTCTGCGGGTACCATTGCTGGACCTCATCTGAAGCCTACCACCCAGCGTTGGCCGGAACGAGAAGGCCGTATCGCACACGACGCAGCGGTTCGAGACCAGAGTGACTTGCGTACGCTAATTGCTACCGAGCACCACATCAATGAGAATCGTTGTCATTATCATTGATACGACTGCTCGTCAAAGTGCGCCATCTACTGCAAAGTGGACACGTGTTTTATTTCAGCGTTCACTGTTATTAAATATCCCGAAGACTTGTCTTTATAGAAAAAAAACAATTATATATGTAAAACATCAATAACAAAGCACCCGATAGTGGAGAACAGAAATACCATTAAATCTGTCAAAGAGCGTTCTATGTTGACAACCTCACTGATTCTGACCACCCATTCGTTCATTCAACCACTGTGGCTATCCGTCAGTGGTCGCGCCGTGAGTCATTTCCCCTTGAATTATACACAGCTGCTCAATTGCACCTGGAACAGTGGCGGAACGGCGTTCCGGGAATAATATTGGCACTGTCGCAGTGATAGTGCCTTATGCCGAGTAATCCCAACGCACCTCCCAGCCAGCCCTTCCTACTGATAGCAGCGTGCCGGAAGAATTTTTATTTTTAAAAAGCGAGTTAAAATTGTATTCCCCCAATGTTACATTAAATATACACGCGCGTAGCAAAACAATATCCACTTCCCTGCGTCTCGTTGCCTTTCTCTTATCGCGGTCTCGTCATCCTCTCGTCTCTTCGCTGCTGTGGCTCAGAGTGTGATCATCTCGCCTCTCTCGTCCGAGTTTGTCTTCGTCTCGTCGCCGACGGTGACTTGCTCTCAGGATATGTGTGTTGTCGTTGTCGTTGTTATTCTTGTCGCCCTTGCTGCTCTTCAGAGTTTTTCCGCGTCTCGCATTTGCAACTTATCGCCGGCAACCACAGCCGCAGCCGCAGCGGCTCAGTCAGCCAGCTGCACCGTGCGTCTTGTACAGAGACACGCAACGGCCTGATAGACACACACACACGCGCGCGCATACACAACAATGGACACACACACACACGCAGACAGACGGACAGACGCGCAGCCAGGGTGCAACAATCACGCAGAGTGGCTGCGTGCTCACGATGCGCGCTGTGAATGAGACGCACGGACGGACGGACGCGCGCGCGCGCGCGCGTTGACACACCGACACTCCCACTCCCACACGCCCGCCGACACACTGACGCACCGACACACTGACACACTGACACGCCGACACACTGACACACCGACACACTGACGCACCGACACACTGACGCACCGACACACTGACGCACCGACACACTGACACACTGACACACCGACACACTGACGCACTGACACACTGACACACCGACACACCGACACACTGACGCACCGACACACTGACACACTGACACAACGACACTCCCACTCCCACACGCCCGCCGACACACTGACGCACCGACACACTGACACACTGACACACTGACGCACTGACACACTGACACACCGACACACCGACACACTGACGCACTGACACACTGACACACCGACACACCGACACACTGACACACCGATACACTGATACACTGACACACAGACACACTGACACACTGACGCACCGACACACTGACACACCGACACACTGACACACTGATACAACGACACTCCCACTCCCACACGCCCGCCGACACACTGACGCACCGACACACTGACACACCGATACACTGACACACAGACACACTGACACACTGACGCACCGACACACTGACGCACCGACACACTGACGCACCGACACACTGACACACTGACACACCGACACACTGACACACCGACACACTGACACACCGACACACTGGCACACTGACACAACGACACTCCCACACGCCCGCCGACACACTGACACACTGACACACCGACACACCGACACACTGACGCACCGACACACTGACACACCGACACACCGACACACTGACACACCAAGACACTGACACACTGATACACTGACACACTGATACACCAACACACTGACACACTGACACACAAACACACCGACAAACCGACACACTGACGCACCGACACACTGACACACCGACACACTGACACACCAAGACACTGACACACTGATACACTGACACACTGATACACCAACACACTGACACACCGACACACTGACACACCGACACACTGACACACCGACACACTGATGCACCGACACACTTACGCACCGACACACTGACACACTGATACACTGACACACCGACACACTGACACACCGACACACTGACACTGACAAACCGACACACTGACACCGACACACTGATACACTGACACACCGACACACTTACGCACCGACACACTGACACACTGATACATTGACACACTGAGACACCGATACACCGACACACTGACACACCGACGCAGCGACACACCGACACACCGACACACTAACACACTGACGCACCGACACACTGACACACCGACACACTGACACATCGACACAATGACACACCGACACACTGACGCACCGACACACTGACACACTGATACACTGACACACCGACACACTGACACACCGACACAATGACACACTGACACAACAACACTCCCACACGCCCGCCGACACACTGACAAACCGACACACTGACGCACCGACACACTGACACACTGACACAACGACACACTGACACACCGACACATCGACACACCGACACACTGACACACCGACACATCGACACACCGACACACTGACACACTGATACACCGACACACTGACACACCGACACACTGATACTCTGACACACCGACACACCGACACACTAACACACTGACGCACCGACACACTGACACACCGACACACTGACACACCGACTCACTGACACACTGACACAACGACACTCCCACTCCCACACGCCCGCCGACACACTGACACACCGAGACACTGACACACCGACACACTGACACACCGACACACTGACACACTGACACACCGACAAACTGACACACCGACACACTGACACACCGACACACCGACACACTGACACACCGACACACTGACACACCAAGACACTGACACACTGATACACTGACACACTGACACACCGACACACCGACACACTTACGCACCAAAACACCGAGACACTGATACACCGACACACCGACACACCGACACACTGACACACCGACACACTTACGCACCGACACACTGACACACTGATACACTGACACACTGACACACTGACACACTGATACACTGACACACTGACACACCGACACACCGACACACTGACACACTGACGAACCGACACACTGACACACCGACACACTGATACACTGACACAACGACACTCCCACTCCCACACGCCCGCCGACACACTGACACACCAACACACCGACACACCGACACACTGACACACCGACACACTGGCACACCGACACACCGACACACTGACACACCGACACACTGACACACCGACACACTGACACACCAAGACACTGACACACTGAAACACTGACACACTAATACACCAACACACCGACACACTGACACACTGACACACCGACACACCGACACACTGACACACCGACACACTGATGCACCGACACACTTACGCACCGACACACTGATGCACCGACAAACTGACACACCGACACACTGACACACCGATACACCGACACACTGACACACCAAGACACTGATACACTGACACACCGACACACTGATACACCAACACACCGACACACTGATACACCGACACACCGACACACCGACACACTGACACACCGACACACTGACACACCGACACACCGACACACTGACACACCGACACACTGACACACCAAGACACTGATACACTGACACACCGACACACTGACACACCGACACACTGACACACCAACACACCGACACACTGATGCACCGACACACCGACACACCGACACACTGACACACCGACACACTCACACACTGACACACCGACACACTTACGCACCGACACACTGACACACTGATACACTGACACACTGACACACCGACACACCGACACACCGACACACTGACACACCGACACACTGACACACTGACACAACGACACTCCCACTCCCACACGCCCGCCGACACACTGACGCACCGACACACTGACACACTGACACACTGACACACTGACGCACTGACACACTGACACACCGACACACCGACACACTGACACACAGACACACCGACACACCGACACACCGACACACTGACACACCGACACACTGACACACTGACACAACGACACTCCCACTCCCACACGCCCGCCGACACACTGACGCACGGACACACTGATGCACCGACACACTGACACACTGACACACCGACACACTGACGCACTGACACACTGACACACCGACACACCGACACACTGACACACCGATACACTGATACACTGACACACAGACACACCGACACACTGACGCACCGACACACTGACACCGACACACTGACACACCGACACACTGACACACTGACACAACGACACTCCCACACGCCCGCCGACACACTGACACACCGACACACTGAAACACCGACACACTGACACACTGACACACTGACACACCGACACACTGAGACACCGACACACTGACACACTGACACAACGACACTCCCACTCCCACACGCCCGCCGACACACTGACACACAAACACACCGACACACCGACACACTGACGCACCGACACACTGACACACCGACACACTGACACACCAAGACACTGACACACTGATACACTGACACACTGATACACCAACAACAACAACAACCGCCATTCGCCACTAAGTGGCGGGACGTCACCACGACGCTTGTGCCAGGCTATGTGCACCCTGAGGCCACGTGAAGTGTCGAACGCCCGCTGGCAGGTGGTCACGGGGCAGACCCAGGTGCCACGGGTCGACTGACTGAGATGACTGGCTGATGCACCACCTGTGCCCCCTACTGTGCCAACCTGCTGTGCTTTAGCCACCCGGCGCTCCGCTCGCTGTTGTGAGCGTCGCTCCTCCGCCCTCCGTTGTTGTTGGAGGGCGACTGCCTCCAACTGCCCAGTAGCATCCTTCACGAGCCTCCTCCACAGAGGCCGATCTTGACACCGCTGGTACCAGTCATCGGCAAGTCCACTCAGCTCCACGTCCTCCTGTACCACATCACTCCATCTCTTCTCTAGCCCGTGCCGCGCCCGCTTAGCCCCCTCAATCCGGCCAAACAAAAGCTGTTTCGGCATGCGGTGGCTGGGCATGCGGGCTACATGACCCAGCCATCGCAGCCTTGCCTGCTGGAGGAGCTCACCGATGGGACCCTGCCCAGATCTTTCAAGGATTTGTGAGCTCCTCACACAATCCAGTCTGGTTAAACCCAGGATGGATCGTAGGCAGGCCAGCCTAAATGTTTCTAACCGGCGAAGATGTTCCATTAGGGGGGTCCACGTTTCGCAAGCGTAGAGAAGGGAGGGAATGACCGTGGCCGAGAAGACCTGAAGCTTAGTGCGGAGCGACAGACCAGGTATCTTCCACACAGCGTTACGCAACCGATGAAAAGATATTGCCGCTCGACTGATTCGGAGTGAGACCTCTGCTGTTAAACTGGAGCCAGTCATAAGCACACTGCCCAGGTATGGGAAACTCTCCACTCTCTCCACAACTGCTCCATCACCGATTGGGAGTTGTGGGGGTGGAGTGTCCGATGGTACAAAATACCCAGGCAGGTGCTTAGTTTTGGTGGGGCTGATGGTAAGGCCCCACCTCTTAGTGGCACGCTCCAGTCTCAGCAGCAGCGTCTCCAACTCCTCCTCTGACTGAGCAGCTATTACCAAGTCATCAGCATACATAACGTGGTTGAGCAATAGGGAGCCATCCCTTGACCGCACCCGGGCATCGATTAGCCTCCCATTATATCTTTACCATATGGAGATTCCCCCGGTACAGCTATTGAAGGCTTCACGAACTACGTGGTCAAAATAGATGTTAAATAATGTGGGAGCCAGAGGACATCCCTGTCGCACCCCAAGGTGTACAGGGAATGGCTCTGACTCCCGGCCACGTAGTTTTACCCGGGCCCGCTCACCATCATGAAGGTCCTTAATGATCGTGAGCTGAGGGTCAGGTACTCCAAAAGCACGAAGAACGACCCAGAGCCCAGGCCTACTGATGGTATC